CTAGTTTCCCCCTCCCCTACCTTCTGCTGGGCCAGACTCCGAACCGCGTGCGCTGCTGCCTTTTCAGTTTTAAAATCCTGGGCATCACGTGACGTCACGCCCAGGCGTCTCCCAGCTCACCTGCAAACGGCGTGCACAGCATGCGGAGGTAAAGGGGGAGCTGAGCCAAGCCAAGGGAGCCAACTACCGAGTGCAAGGGCACGGGCCCCCTTAGGCGCGGGGCCCGATTTGGCTTAAGGCCGGCCCTGCCTAAGAGGATGAGGAGAGAAGGAAAGTGGGGTTTTTTTTCCCCCCTAAAGGGGAGCATAGGAAGTCTTATGTTTAGATCTGAAACCACGATACATGGATTTAAGTTTCTCCTCCTAGCAAGGATCTCTGTAACCAGAATACCAATCACAGAACTTAACCTAAATCTGGGCAACTCCAGCAGCAACATCCTTGGAAGGTATGTGGGATGGATTGCGTCACAAATCTCCCTGAAATGTCACTTGATGGCCTGACTATGCCACTGAGCCTACTTGCCCTCTGGGGCACCCCGCCATCTTGCACAGTATGTCGGAGAAGAAGGAACCTGTGGGATCCCAGAAAGCTCCCCTATATCCCTTACCAGTCATGTAGGAGGCCTTTCTGAGCGTGGCAATGAACAATGTAGGTCCAATGCTGCACCCCCACTTGGACAAATATATCTTAGGGTGCCTGCGGAATGGGAGGCTTGGGGCTGGCCCAATCCTGGATGGAGGGGTGCCCCCAGACAGCTCCTTTCACTTGCCTGGTGATGGTTTCTTTTCTGTACAGTTTTAGGAGATGCAATCCCCACTCCAGGAACATCCCATTTTCCTGGAACAGCCAAACTCTTACCTTGCTTTGAGTTATAAGACGAAACTGCATACCAAATTTGGTGTTCTGGCTCTTACTGTTTCGGACAGGCCTAGGCAAAATATAGCCCATGGGCTGGATGCATCCTGCCCAGCCACTGGGTCTGGCTTGTGGATACTGCAGTGAGCCCTAGGCAGGCTCCCCACTTGCCTCGCCTCACCCAAATGTAGTCTAGACACAGCCTGGGTGATCGACAACAGCATGAGGACCTCCTGTAAGAATGTGATCTATGTTCACGAGGAGGGAGGTCATAGTAAGATTTATGGTAGTGCCCATAGTAACGTTCTGAGCTCACAGTGTATTATCTTCCCGGCATTCGTCACCTATGATGTATACAATAGTCATGCCATGGTGTTCGCATCAGCGATTGTGAGTGATGTGGTGAAAACCTCAGTGAAGGAGAAGATGATATAGATAGTCTTCTTTCACCACAGCAGTATGGAAATGGTGGGTTGCACTGAGGGGAACGCACATGATCCCTACGCTCTCATCTATAAGCGATCAGCGTTGAAGACTGCCGTGGTGGAGGAGAGAAAGATGGTTCCAGGGAGAAAGTTGGGGAAGGAGACTGAAGGCTGGGACATGAGTGTATCTTTCGGCAGCCTCTCTTGGTGCTGCGGTGGTGTTGTCTCCCATCGGTGCTGGGGAGTGCGGTGCTGATTCCAATTCTACCGGTGCCGGAAAACGCGTGGTTGCTAGTTTCATGGATGGTGCCAGTGTCAGCACCGCTATTGGTGCCAGTAGTGTCAGCGCCAGCAGGGATGTTGTTGAGGACGGTGCCAAGAGTGTCAGTGCCACTGGCACAGTTGTTTTTGTTGGCCCGGCACTGATCACGCCTTCGGTGCTCAGAGAGATGATTTCCTGGGCTTTACGCCCGGAGGACCCAGAGGTGGCTGTCCCAGACATGCCAGGTGTATCCCACAAGCTCACTCTGCTGATTGGAGCAGCTGGTAGGGACTGAGTTGGGGATGCCCTTATCTTCTTTGAAATGGCAGTCCTGGGAGAAGATGCCCTGAGTTTTTGGATAGAATGTTATGCAGTAGCAGAAGCAGGGACGTCAGAAGGTTGAAGTGCCTTGTCAAACAATCATTTTAAGGCACATTTCTCAATCTCTTTGAGCTCTGGAAGTCAGTTTACAACAGTGGGTGCATTTTTTGTGGCACACGTGCCTCACCCAAGCACCTGATACATGCCGCATGTCCATCTGAAGTCAGCATGGCTTTGCGGCAGATGCTACAAAACCTGACATTCTAGCATAGGTGATTAAATCCTTTGCTCGTCTTCTTATTTATATATATTATATTATCTACATATTTTGAGGCAGCTAGGCCACAACAACTAGTTTAAAAAAAAAAGAACAAGCTTAGAACACGAACCATAACAAGAATAGACTAAAAATCATAATTATTTGCAGATACTTTTGAGGAACGCTATTGAAGAGAAGAGGGAGCTCCCTCCATGACCGAGAGCGGTTGAGAGGAACTGGGCGGGGGCCGGACCTTGCACTGACGAAAGGCACGAGATACTGACTGTGCATGCATGGCCCGGCTGAGCACGGGTATGGCAAGTCTCCGATCTGCGGTGCCAGGACGAGTCCGACACCAGCAGTGGAGCACCCACAGGGAGCACATGAAGAAGAACACATGATGTTGCAAATCTTTTCCATTTCTGAAGGTAAGTCTTGCAGGTGCTCTGCGCCCTACTGTGTAAAGGGACAGTTTGTACTTCCTGTGAGCAGGTCAACTCTAGGTCAAGGACCATCCAGGAGCCACACCTCCAGGTGTAGTGAGTGGAGGTTCAGGTGGCCGTAGTGAGAGCCTGGGTGAAGGAGGAGATGCCCTGATACAAGGTGAGTGGATCGGTGGGGCGTGGGACATCGCCACGAGGAAGGGAAACCATGGCTGGCCAGGCCATGCTGCTGCTGTATGTATGAGATGAGCCCTGTCCCTCCTTATCTTGTGAGCTACTCTGTTCAACAGGGATATAGAATAAGTGAGACATCCATGTGATGAGGAAGGCATCTCCCACTGATCTCTTGCCTACTCCCACCCTGGAACAGAATAGGGGGAATCAGCTGTTGGACTGTGTGGCAAACAGGTCCGTGGCAGGGTGACTCCACATGTGGAAGATGTCTGCCAATATGTGCGGGTTCATTTGCCACTCATGTTTGACTGGGAGGGCTCTGCTGAGTGCACCTGCTGTTATATTCAGGGTGCCTGGACGATGCACTGCCATGATAATTGTGTTGTATTTTAGGCACCAGTTCCAAAGTGCTCTGGCTTCTGTGCAAAGTGCTCGAGATCAGGCTTCGCCCTGATGATTTATGTAAAACATTGCTGCGACACTGTCTATGTACAGTCAGACGTGGCTGTTGGCGATGAATGGGAGGAATTTGATGAATGCATTCCTGACTGCACGCAGTTCTAGACGTTTATGTGCAAGTTCTTGTCGGTGCCAGACCACAGGCCCTGGCAGGTATGACGTTGTAAATGGGCATCCCATCCTGTAGGAGATGCATCTGTCATCATGGAGATGGATGGTTCTGGTGGGTGGAAGAGACTCTGGAACAAAGGTTCCATGGGGCCAGGCACCAGCATAAGGATTCCTTTACTATCCATGGAAGGGCTAGGGATTTAAACAGCAGGTGGACATTGGGTTTGTACACCTGTCCCAGACAGCTCTGCAAACATCTCATATGGAGACGGGCATTGCTGACTATGAAGTTGTATGCTACCATGTGTTTTACATCTATTCAAGCATAAATTTTGTGATATGGTGTTCACAGTCATTGCCTG